CCCCCGCCCTCTGCCCGGGCCCCCCCCGCCGCGCGCGCCCCGCACTCACTGTCTTGCTGCGGGGTGTCGCTGCCGCTGGTGAGTCCCGGCGACTCCAGCAGGCTCCAGCCCGCTTCGCCCACGCTCTCGTCCGCCTGCGCCGCCACCATGTCCCCGGCCTCCTCCAGGTCTAGCAGGTGACTGACCGAGAAGTTCTTTTTGGCCTGCAGGGTGTCGAGGTTGCCCGGACTGTCCAAGCGGCCGCCCAGCGCCGGTTGCCGCTCCAGAACGTGCCCGTAGCTGGAGGTCATGGTCTTCCCGCGGATCCCACCCACCCCCCTCTTCCCGCTCGAATCAACACCAAACGCTGTGGGCGCGAGGGGGGAGAGGAGCCGAGTGGGGCAGAGAGAGGGGGAGTGGAGAGAGAGAGAGGGAGAGAGAGAGGGAGGGAAGGGGACGACGGCCAAAAAAAAAAGTGGGAAGGAGGGCGGGGTACCCCTCCTGCAGGGCCGAGCCTTGTGCACCCGCAGCCTCCGCGGCCCGGGCTGCTTTCCGGAGGACCTAGTCCTGCGCAGTCCGACCGATAATCCACAGCAAAAAATAAAACTACAAAGTCACTCTATGTCTAAGTCGAGAGAGAGAAAAAAAAAGCCCTCCAACTCTCCAAAAGCGTCCACACGCGCACACTAAAAATAATAATAAGCGGGAGAGAGGGGAGGGGAGGCCAGGGCGGGGGAGTCAGGGAGACAGAAGAGGCTAGAAGGGGTGGGAGAGGAGAATCAAAGTGGGTTTTTAAAAAGGTTAAAAAAGTTATTCCCAGGCAAGAGTTCAAGCACCAACAGAAGAAGGTTTGTTCCAGCTTTAAAACATCTTCAAGAAAATGTGCTCCCCCTCTCAGCACTCCTGTGGAGTCTCAGGAGTGACTAAGGTTTCAGGAGGAGAGGGTGATGTCTTGCAGATGTATTAGAGAGCAGGATTCTCACTTTACTTTCGGGAGGAGTAAAAAAATAAATAAATAAAAAATAAAAAAGTAGGGCTCCAAGAGTCCGAAGCAGGGTGGCGGGGGCGCCCCCTTTCCTAGGCTCTTGCCCCTCTTCTCGCCGCGCTCCGTTTTCCTTCCCAGTTGGATCAAGAAGCTCTCTGGCACTTCAAAAGGCACAGACTGGCATGCGGAGGAGGCTTTGTAGGGAATACAAGAAAATTGGAGACCCCTGGGAGGGCCGATCTCCACTTAATAGGAGCCTGTAATTACGTGGCAAAGCCTTTGTGCCGTGCCTGACGTTTTACAGACCCCTTTCCCCATCACAATCTCCTTCTTCCTCCTTTCCCTCGGACCGAAAAACAGTCTGATTAAGAAAACCGCCTTTGCCAACTTCAGAGCCAGCGCGAGACGGAGAGGGAGGGAGCGGAGGAAGAGGGAGGAGGGAGCGGAGAGGGAGGG